CGCATATTTACCCCCTGCTTACTGTCGTTCCCCCCTCACCAACCCCCGTATCCCCCTCTGCAAGGTCGATGTTGTAGCCTCACCACGGCTGATTCACAGCTGGCAGAGGCCGTTGCTGGGACATGCGCGTGGAGAGGGAGGGAGGCGAGGGAGCGCATTGGGGATCTTTGTGAGTCCACTGATCCATAAAGTTGCTCTTCCTTCCTCCCCCCACCTCCTCCTCCTCCCCTTCACAGCGCATGAGTGGTCAGTGAGAGAGTTAGTGGGGAGCTTTTTGAATCGACTCATATAGTTCCCCCCCCCTCCCTCCCCTTCCCCCATCCCTTCCGCTGCCCCCTCTTCCTCACCCCCCAGCGCACGAGACGGAGGTGACGGAGCGGAGCGGGGCGCTGGACGAATGCGCAGCTGGCGGTGAAAAAGGTAGGCCTGGATCAGATATGAGGTGGCGGGTGCGGAGGAGAAGGGAAGGGGAGGGGGAGGTGAGGCACCTCTGCGAAGGGGGAACAGCTGATGGTGAAGAAGTTTAGGCGGAGGGGTTGGGGGGGGAGAGGGGGGGCGGGAGGGAGGGTTGGAATGCAAGTGACAGAACACAGGTTTCAATTCCACTTGCTTGCTCCGCATCTCCACCATTGCTGCCTCCACTGTCGTATCTCCCACCGCTCAACCCCTCTTCACCCACTCAACTCAGCCCCACTCCACTCCACCCACACCCTCTTCTCACCCCTCACCCCCCCTCCCCTTGCCCAGCCTGTCCTCGTTCATCCGCCCCATGCCTGTCCTCCACACCACCATGGCCCACATGCTCTCCCTGCTGCGTCCCAACTTCATCCGACCTTTGTCCGAGCTGCATTGCACTTAGAGGCACCTTCTATCCCCACTTTCTCCGTCCTTCACCTCTCCTCCCCCGTTCCCCTCCTTCCTTGCCCCCACAATGGACCCATCGTTCATCCGTCCATGGCGCACATGCTTGCGCTGCTGCATGTCCCCTCCCCCCCCTCCTCGCCCTCCGCGGCCAAGGGGAACGCGGAGGAGGGGGAGGTGGAGGGGGAAGGCGTAAGGAAGTAAGGAGGGTGGCCAGGCGGGCCGGGGAGCGAGGGGAGGCCGGGGATGCGGCTGCTGCTGCTGCACTCGTTCCTGTGGGGTCGCATGAGGGCAGTGCGCGCTGACATGCGCATGCAACATCTCTTAGGGCGCGAGGTGATCAACATGCACGAGTAGATGGTGAGATAGGGCTGCTGTCTGTGCTCACTCGGGGTAACCTTGCTGGTCTGTCCCCATAGTGGTTGTGCACTGTCCATGCGAGTACTGCGAGCCCAGGTTTTGTCTTTTGCTAATCATTGCCTTCTCTCTGCGTCTCTCCCCCCATCAGGACCCTTTCAACAACTCCTCCCAGCACCACAGGTCAAATCCAACCTGTATTATGGTAGCACGGCCTTTCCTGCCCTGGTCCCAGCAGTCACAGAGTCAAGAACCCCCGCCTCAGTTCTATGTGCCGTATTCCTAATGTTGTCAGTGCAAAGATCCCCAGAATATGCCTCCTTGTCGCTGACCAGTAGCCGGTACACCCGAATGTGTACAAATGTGGAGGGGTATGTCAACACTTTGGATGGTGCACTTTACAAACCCTTTCTGACATGAATAGTTACTCATAAATGGCAAACTGTACCACCACACCGAGTGTGTATGGTTGGCAGCATTGTCAGAGAGAATACTAACACTACGTGAGAATAGTGGCTGCTACTGTTATGGCAACACGTGCGCACTGCGCAGCCCAAGCCTATCAGTGTCACCAAATGTTGTCGTAAGACTGATCTTATCTTCATACAACACTAATTGCTCTTCTCAAGCGGCGGACTGAAAGCGGTGGGGACGCGAGCGCATGTCGTGACCCGCAAGGCTAAGGTGAGGCTGAGGCCAAGGCGGGTTGAGCAAAGGACCTAAACCCTGGAGGACAGAGAAAGGCACGGGGAAGAGGGTGAAGGGATGACATAGTGAGCTATGGGAAAATGGACGGTACGACAGAGTGAGGACAGCGTCATCAAAGGATTGATGGAGCACGGTGTGTGAGTGAGCGAAGGAAAGATGGAGCATGTAAGGGGAGAGAGGGCATTGAAGGGATAGAGAGCTGGGAGGCGAGAGAGAAAAGTGAGATGAGGGAGGTAAGAGGGAGAGGAGAGGTCAAGTTGAGATTTGAGAGGGGAGGAGAGAGAGCAGGTAGTTGAGAAAGGAAAGGCGGAGGAGAGAGGGCAGGTAGGGGAGAGAGGGAAGCAGGGAGGAGAAGGAGGGGAAGCAGGGAGGAGAAGGAGGGGAAGCAGGGAGGAGAAGGAGGGGAAGCTGGGAGGAGAAGGAGGGGAAGTAGGGAGGAGAAGGAGGGGAAGCAGGGAGGAGGAGGGGAAGTAGGGAGGAGGAAAAGGGGGAAGAAGGGTGTAGGGCGGAGAGGGTGGAAAGGCGGAAGAAGTGGGGTAAGGCAGAGAGGGGATAGGGGGAAGAAGGATGTTTAGGACAGAGAGGGGATAGACGTGTGTGGGCAGTGGGGGAAGAGGGAGAAGAAGGGTGAAAGGCAGAGAGGGATGGATGTAAGGTAGAGAAAGGAAAGGTGTTACAATGGGAGTATGGCAGATTGGCGAAAGGCGGACAAAATGTATAAGGCAGAAAGGGGTAAGGGTGAAGAAGAGAGTAAGGCAGAGAGGGGAGAGGGGGAAGAAGGGAGTAGCGAAGTGAGGGGAGTAAGGCAGAGTGGCGTAAGCGGGAAAATGGGTGTAAGGCAGAGAGGGGAGAGGGGGAAGAAGGGCGTTAGGCAGAGAGGTAAAGGGGGTAGGGGGAAGCAGGGGCGTAAGGCAGAGTGGCGTAAGGGACAGAATGGGGTATAGCCGAGGAGTGTTATGGCAGAGAAAGGGGTATAGGCGAAAAGGGTAAGGGAGGGAAAGGGGTATAGCCGTGGGATATGATGGAGAGAAAGGGGGCCGAGGGGAGCATGGGTGAGATTGGGGTATAGCCGAGGGCGGAAAGGGAGAGAAAGGGGTACAGACGTGGGGAGTAACGGAGAGTACGGGGTATATCCGAGGGGAGTGGTGAGTTTAAGGGGTATAGCAGAGGGGAGCAAGGGAGAGACGGGGGTGTAGCAGAGTGGAGCATGGGAGAGAAAGGGGTACGAGAGAGGGGAGTAAGGGAGAGAGAGGGTGACGACCGAGGGGAGTATGGCAGGGAAAACGGCATCCCCGCGCGGCAGGGGAGTGTGGGAGATCAAGGGGTATAGGCGAGGGGAGTAAGTGTGGGCGTGGGGTAACGCCACGGGTTCTGGGAATAGTTGGAGAATAAAAAAGAGTGAGGGTACCGCGGTGGGCCCTGACGGTTTGAAAGGAGCAATTCAGCGGGGAGTCAGGAAGATCCACCGTGGTTTCCGTGGGGAGTTGGGGAGAGAAAGTGGTATGCGTGTGGGGTGTAGGGTTGTCTACGGGTCCCTCTTGCCGGTACATCGCGTCAGGTCTGTGAATGAGCGTAAGAGCGACGATAAGAGGAAATCTTCTCACCGTATGACTAGGCTTTGTTGCCTCCGCGCTCGCGCAATCCTGTCGCGATTTGAGCTGCTGTCAAGGTGCTATGCGCGGCCGGCAGCAGCGTTGTGAGCGCGCCCACCGCGCGATGTGCGGCGGCGCTCGCGACGACGTGCGGGCGCGGGAGCTGACGATTAGAGGGCGCGCTCGCCGTGACGTTCGCGCCTGGGTGTGGCGACTCCGATGCCAGAAAGACTATCGTGCGCTAATCGAGTGGTTACGCAACAGGGGAGGGGGATGCGGTGCAACAAGGCTGGCGCTTTGACGGCGGGGAGGAAATCTGGCGACGGTGACGGGAGAGGCGAGGCAGGGCGACATCACGGTCGCGTCGGTTTTCTCTTCAATTCATGGCGGTCGAGCCTGAAGGTTCTAGTGAAGTTTATGGCACACGATTCTACGCGAGATTTGAGTGCGCTGTTGGCCCTCCGCCTGATTGCTCAAGGCTAAATCTGAGTAAATGCACACTCTGCTCAGACGCGTCCTTGTGCGTTTTGCGATAGGGCTAAACCCGTGCGCGATGAAAGCGACGAGAGATGTACGTGCTAATCGTGCATACGGGAGGTTTGAGATGCTCTGGCGATCTAGTTTATCTCCCGGAAAATCATGCTTTCTCAGGGCGGTGCGCTGTTGGTGGTGGTTCCTGTGCTATTCGTTGCTTGGAAGCAAGTGTACGTTGGTTGTGATTCATGTGTTTTTGGTTCACAAACTGCCTGTCGGCCCCAACTCAAGTTCCCAACTCTCTTTCCCCTTTCGCTACTGACGTGGGAATGTTCACCCGCGCAACTCCGCCAACACTGGCTGCTTGTTCGCGTCTCAATCCAACCCCAAACCGGGTAACCACGTGGAGGCAAGTGATAAACCTTTGCCTCCACCCCCCCCAAAGTGCACCCTTGCTTTAAGGTTTTTTTGCTCGAAGCCTTTATGCAGCCGTTTGTGTACACACACCGTTTAGAAGCGCAAGAGAACTGACTGAACCGTATTGAAGTGACCTTGTGTGCACCATGGTCTGACGGGGAAATCGAGTGGAGAGAGATCAGGTGGAGGGAGGTGCGAACGAGAGACAGGGGCGTATTTTCACTGGCATTAATCGGCTTGATTTTCAAAAAAGTTGGAAAAAAGGTGGTGTAGCACTGGGCGAAGAGGTCCACGGTCCTGACTTGCTGGGTCACATGTCACGTAAACTGAGATTTCAATGAGAACACGCGAAGCTGTTATTACTTTGTTCGAAAATCTACCTGGGATCCGGAGGTGACCTTTTGTCCACGATCACGAGGCGAGGGAATGATGGACACACCCACCATACAAGCAGGCAGTCGCATCAGATTCTCAAGTAAAAGCTGAGAATCGAAGCCATGAGGTTATGGTAACGACGCCGTGTATGGCGCCTAACAGTGGCAATTAAATTACCTGTTCACGGTACTACCGAGAGCCGCATTAATTCCCTTCATGGGGTCCCATAATGACGACAATGAGCCGCGTGTCGCGTCGTCGCGTCGCAGCTTCGATTTCGCGGTTCGTCCGCTGCAGCGTCAAGTTCCGGAGCGCTTGGAACGTCCTTTGCCAGAACGGACCTTTCCCGAACGCCTTCTGGTATCGTGTTTTCCCTTCTTCCGCCCAGTAATCCACTCAGCCGATCCCGTACCCTCTCTAGAAGCCGCTGATGACGTCAGCGTCCGTCTCGCTGACGCGAACCACGCGCTTCACGATAACGAAAACGATGAGGACGGTAATAACGGGGACGCCAGGGGTGGATCTTATGCGCGTTCTCTGCTGCCACGTGTCATCGGATCCCTATGCCGCTGCTTGCCTTGGCATTGGACGGGGAATGAAATCCATGGCGTGGCGAGGCGATTAGGGGAAGCCGCTACTCTTGGGTCGAATCAAATAGCGAGGCGATTAGGGAAAGCTTCGGACAAGCAAGCTGGCGGAGACGAGGACGGGGAGACTGCGACGGGGGAAACGGAGGAGGAGGTCAGGAGGGAAGGACAGAATGAGGCGAAAGGGAAGGGAGTGAAGGAGGTCAAGAGGGAAGGGGAGAAGGAGGTTAGGGAGGAGGGAGAGGAGGAGGAGCCTCCGGTGTATCTGAGATTCGAAAACCAGGTCAGTTTTCACGTCCGATTACTGATTTTTTTTAGTCCGGCCTTTTACGCTGATGAATCAATTGCTGCTTCCCTGATAATTCTGGTCCCCATTACTTCGGAAGTCAGAAGCGTGGGCTGCCTGGGACCATGAGACCAATCCCACCACATCGCATCCAACCCCATCCCATCCCACAAGGGAATGCAGCAGTGGACGTGCTGTTGTCCCCCTCCTGCCTGTCTGCCTGCTCCGACCCTCCTCTCCTATTATCCCTTCACCGTTTCCAACCTCACCACATCCCACTAACCCCATTTCACAAAGGCATGCAGCTGTGGATGTTGCACTCAGGCGAGGAGGACTGCTAGTTCACCCTCCCGCCTGCCTTCTAAAACCCTCTTCTCTTCTTCTTGCCTCACCCTTCCCACCCCGACAACATCCCGCCTAACCCTGACCCACACAGACGGAAGCAACTGTGAACGTGCTGTGGCTGTCACACACAGGCGAGGAGCGCTGCTACTTCACCCTCTTTGCTGCTGCTCCCTTCACCATTTCCAACCGCGCCAATTTCTTTCAAAACCATCCCACACAGACGCAAGCTGCAGTGGACGTGCTGTGGCTGTCGCACACAGGCGAGGAGCACTGCTACTTCACCCTTCAGCCTGCGTGCTGCAACACTCAGGCGACCTTTGAGGGGAACGTGTGGCTCGTGCGTGATGCTGCCACTCAGAAGCTGTTGCACCACAGAGTGAAGGTGGGTGTAGCATCCAGTTACTCTGTAACGCAGGGGGTCCTGGTAACATATTACTGGATATCCGTAGCACAGGTTGACAGCGTGTGTAGTATTCAGTGATTGAAACTGCCGGCGTCCCATACAAATTTTGACATATTCAAACTTCCTCTCGCAGTCCCCCATTCAGGTCTTCCGTTCAAAGTTTTTCAACCAGAGCTGTGACACCAGCCTGCTTGTTGCTCCAATGCGCATTCCCCATTCAGGTTGCCCTTCGTTCCTCGGTCGGCCGTCGACAGAGGTACCTCATCCGCCCACGCCCATCCCAGCAGCACATACTGGTTGGTACTGCTAACGCTGCAGTTGCTGCTGCTGGTGATACTGCAACTGCTGATGGTGGTACCACAACTGCCGGTGCTGCTTCCATCGGTGCGGGCAGCAGCAGCAAGCGAGTGGTAATGGAGGAGGAGGCAGAGGGGGACGTGCGCGTGCCGTCATGTTACAGGCAGGTGGTGGGCACGGCAGTGGGCGTGCCGGTGGTGGCGCATGGGCGTGTGTGCATGCCGGCACTCTGTGCTGCTGCTGACATCGTCGAGCATATGCTGCAGGTAAGGCACCGCCAAGAGCATGGGCTTGTGTGCTTGGGCATGTGGGCATGGGCATGTGCGCATGGGCATGTGCGCATGGGCATGTGTGCATGGGCATGTGTGCATGGGCATGTGTGCATGGGCATGTGTGCATGGGCTTGTGTGCATGGGCATGTGTGCATGGGCATGTGTGCATGGGCATGTGTGCATGGGCATGTGTGCATGGGCTTGTGTGCATGGGCATGTGTGCATGGGCATGTGTGCATGGGCATGTGTGCATGGGCATGTGTGCATGGGCATGTGTGCATGCAGGCGCTGTGCGCTGCTGCTGACATTGTCGAACATATGCTGGAGGTAACTGCGCTAAGAGGGTGATGCGTGATTGTGCATGCTGACTAATCGCCTGTGTGGCATGATAGCTCATGGTTGCGTGACAGGTAAAGCCGAGGCGTTCGGCATTGCCGAGGTGATACAGAGCAATGTCCATCAGCTCAGCCGAGGTGATACAGAGCAAAGTCAGTGCCTTCTCCACAACTACCTTTCCCCCCCCCCGCCCTGCCCATCAGCTCAGCCCTGCCTCGCCTGCCATATTAACCCAGTTAGAAGACAACTGCCCATGTGATCGGCAGAGCCGAGGTGATATCAGGGAAAAGTTTGTGAAAGTAGCAAATTGAACAAGTAACTTCATTGGAGGAGAAACCTAGCATACATGGTTGGAATAAAAGCTTGGAAGATAAAGGTGAAGGTGACCATAGGTTGGGTTGACCTCACTTGGGGGAATGAGGCAACCATAGGTCAAGTGGGTTGGGTTGCCCACACTTTGTAGAAGTGAGGCAACCCTAGGCCCACTTGACTTGAGATGACCTCACTTGTGGGAAGTGAGGCACCCATAAGCCTAGTGGGTTGCATTTGGGGGCTCCACCACAATTGGGTGGATTGGCACCTCAAAGTGCAAGACTACACCCAAAGTTAGGTGTAGTCCCAACCCAACTGTACACCACAATTGGTGTACAGTCACATGTGTTGGCATGCTACACAACATATATTTTAACACAACCCCTTAGCATGCTAACACAAGAAGAGAACAACCCCTGAATCAAGGGGCGCCCGGGCGAGCGAGGCCAATGAGGCGGAGGAAAGCAGAGTGAGCAGGGCGAAGGAGGGCCTTAGTGAAGATGTCGGCTAAGTTGGCCTCGGTCGCAATCTTGCGAACGGCAATAAGGCCCTTCTGGACGAACTCGCGAATGAAAAAGTAGAGGAGCTCGATGTGATGGAGCGGGCGTGATAGACGGGGTCCTGAGTGAGATGGATGGTGCTGGCATTGTCGCACCAAAGGGTGGGGCACGTCTGGGGGGCGCCAAGCTCCGCAAGAAGGAAGCAGAGCCAGCGGGACTCCTGGGCGGCCATGGTGCCAGCGTAGAGCTCGGCCTCGCAGGTGGAGAGAGAGATGGCGGAGGAGCGGGTGGAGCGCCAGCTGATGAGGCCGCTGCCAAGGGTGAAGCCGTAGCCCTGAGAGGAGCGGCGGTCCGGCTGCGTGTCAACCCAAGAGGAGTCACTGAAGCCCGAGAGAAGAGGAGGGGAAGGGCCACCAAGGGTGAGGGCAAGGTCCTTGGTCCCGTGAAGGTAGCGAAGGACCCGCTTGGCAGCTTTCCGGTGCTCCTCAGTGTGACGACCGGTGCCAACAAAGCGGGCGAGCACGCTGATGGGGTAGGCGAGGTCGGGGCGGGTGCACATCATCGCGTACATCAGGGACCCAACGAGCTCGGCATAGGGGTGGGGGGAGGAGGTGGGGGAGGAGGGTGGTGCGAGTTGGTGGCCGAAAGGGAGGGGGGTGGAGACTAAGTTGGAATATATGCTTAACACCTTAAGCGTACAGCGTATGTACGCTAGCGTACATACGCTATCCGCTATACGCTAGCAAATACGCTATACGCTCTTAGATTTTTTTTAGGGCTGCCCGAAAAAAGAATCGCAAAAAAGATGCGGATTTCCTAGGTGAGCATCTCGCCGTAGTCGAAATTCAAGTCCGCAGTCTAGGCAAACGGGGATCTGACTTCGAAGTCGTCAGGCAAATGTTGGATTTCAGATCCCATCTAGGCATTGAAATCCATCCCTTCTACCGCATTGAACCCCACTCTATCTACAAACTCCAACCTGTCAAAATTTCCCAAACAACAAATCTCACGGTACTTACCAGCCAGCCCTGTTGGCTAACCCTAACTCGTCATTTCGTTCCCGCTTTCACCAGAGTTCACGCTTCTTCGCTTTCTTGCTATTATGGTTACTCCACCTCCAATTGCACTCGTCATTCGGATTCAGGATTATGCAAGGGCAAGCCTTAGTGAGAATAGGGAGTACTTTTATTTCACCCTGCCCGGAATGTTTTTTCTCTGCCCGAAAAAGCGTTTCTCCAAACCGAACCCCTAAGCGGATAGCGTGTATACGCTAGCGTATATACGATACGCGAATATACGCTGTACGCGTATATTCCAACTTAGGGTGGAGATAGGCTTGGCCTGCGCCATTTCGAACTTCTTCAAGACCTGGCCGATGTAGTGGGACTGTGAGAGGGTGATGGTGTGAGCAGGGCGGTTGCGCGTGATAGCCATGCCCAGGTAGTGAGTGAGGGCGCCAAGGTCTTTGCACTTGAGACGTTGCTGCAGGGACATCTTCATCTGCTCCATGTCGGCCCTGGTGTCAGAGAGCAGGATCATGTCGTCCACATACACCAGAATGAAGAAGCGGCGAGGGGAGGAGCGGATGAAGAGGCTGGCGTCGGAGTGGGAAGCAGAGAAGCCGAGAGACCCTAAGGTGGCAGCCAGCTTTGCATGCCACTCACGCGGTGCCTGCTTCAAGCCGTAGACAGGGCGACGCAGCTGCCAGATAGTGTTCTGAGAAAAGGTTGCGTGGAACTCGGGGGGTCGCCGGAGGAAAATGCGCTCGTGCAGGTCGCCCTGCAGGAACGCATTGGAGACGTCCATGGAATCGATCTCCATGTTGTCACGTGCGCCAATGTCGAGGGCGGCGCGAAGGGTGGGTGGTTTGGCGGTGGGGGCGTAGGTGAACCAGTAGTCCTCGGCCCAAGTCTGCGTGAACCCCTTGGCGCAGTAGCGGGCCTTGTACACCGGTTCCTCGCCCGGCAGCTGCTTCACCCGAAAGACCCATTTGTCGTCAACGAAGTTGGCGCCGGCTGGGAGGGGGACATCGACAAAGGAGTCGTTGCGAATGAATGCCTCACACTCCAGGAAGATCGCCGCTATCCATTTATCCGCGTCAGGGCAGGTGATGGTTTTCTGGAAGGTGGAGGGAGTGAAAATGGTGGGGGTGGTGGTGGCGCCAAGGACAGGAAAGCCCAGGAAGTCAAGGTAGAGGGAGGCAAGGAACGGAGTGTGCTCCCGAATGTTGAGGAACTCCTCATGGGAGTCCTCAAGGAGCTGAATGGAGGCAAGAGGAGGAGCCCCAAGGATTTTGTCCACTGAGCGGGTATGGATGTAAGGGAGGAGGAAGGGGGAGGAGCGGGAAGTGGCACGGCGCCGCTGCTGCCGCTGGTGCTGCTGAAGCTGCTGCCCTTGTTGTTGCGGGTGCTGCGGACCGTGCTGCTGCTGACTGTGCTGCTGCTGTCCCGGCTGCTGCTGTTGCGGCAGCCCCGGCTGCTGCTACTGCCCCGGCTGCTGCTGCTTCTCCGGCTGCTGCTGCTGCTGCTGCTGCTGCTGCTGCCCCGGCTGCCGCTGCTGCTGCTGCTGCTGCTGCCCCTGCTGCCGTTGCTGGTGTTGCTCCGGCTGCTGCTGCTGCTGCTGCTGCTCGTGCTGCTGCTGCCCCTGCTGTTGCTGATCCGGCTGCTGCTGCTGCTGCTGCTGCTGCCCCTGCTGTTGCTGATCCGACTGCTGGAAAGGAGGAGAATGAGAGGAGGAGGGAGAGGGGGGAGGGGGTGCAGCTGAGTGAGCGGGGGAGGCGGGTGCGGCAGGGTCGTAGACGTCGGCAGAGGAGGAAGGCGGGAGTGGGGCGGCGACAGGTGGGAGGAGAGGCGCTGGAGGGAGAAGAGGCGGGAGGACGGTGTCGGTCCAAGCGAGGGGGCGAGTGGGAGGAGGGAGGGGGTCAGGAGGAGGGGTGGAGTAGTAGGGAGTGGACTCGTCGAAGACAACGTCAATGCTGCGGATGAGGCGATTGGTGGGAGGGTGGAGGAATAGGTAGCATGGGGAATCACGATTGTGCCCAAGGTAGACGCACTCCAGAGCGCGAGGAGCGAGCTTGCCAGCAGCGCGGGAGCGGTCGGCCGGTGGAATGAGGACGAACGCCTTGCAGCTCCAAACACGAAGGCCTGCGGCGTTAGGCTTGGCCTTGGACCAGAGTTCTGTGGGGGAGGAGGAGGGATGCTTAGGGTGGGAGCGAAGATTGAGGAGGAGGGCGGCATGAATGAGGGCATAGCTCCAGAGGGAGGGAGGGGTGGAGGCGTGAGCAATGAGGCAGCGCGCAATCTTGGTGATCTCACGGATGCGACTCTCAGCGATGCCGTTTTGCTGAGGGGAGTGGGGAATGGTGGAGGTCTGCTGAATGCCGTATGTTTTGTAGTAAGTGGAGAGAGTATGATTGATGAATTCAACCCCACCGTCAGAGTGAAGGCGGCCTATGGGATGTTTGAAGTGGTTGCAGCACTGCTCAGCCCAGTTGATGACCACAGCCGGCACCTGGTCTTTTGTGTGAAGAAAGAAGACGGTGAAGTACCGACTGTGGTCGTCGACGAGCACAAGCATGTACCTGTGCCCTTGACGGGAGCGGATGGGATAAGGGCCCCAGAGATCCATGTGAACAAGGTCAATGGGGGCGGGAGCGAAGGTGGGGTGACTGTGATGGGGGGACTGTTTGAGCTTGCCATGAATGCATGATGGGCATGGGGGAGCAGGGGAGGGGAGGCAAGGTGGGAGGAAGGCTGTTAAGGAGGCGAGAGGTGACGGTGGAGCGAAGTGCGGCGAAGTTGGGATGGCCGAGTCTGTATATGGCGGTAATGCCAACGCCTTGGAGTTCACGGTGGGAGAGGAGGTTATTGCGAAGGGTAGGGATGTGGAGACCGGTGACTGTGCCGGATGGGAAGGCGGTGCAAGGAAGGGTGGAGAGGTGAGTGCAGGGGATGGAAAAGCTGGAGTCGGCACCATGAACCTGGGTGGGAAGTGGGAGGGGGGTGAGGGTGCCAGCGTCTTTTAGTGCGGTTTCGGTGGCCCCACTGTCAAGGACAAAGTCCAGGGTGGGGGGGGGAAGGAGAGGGAGGGAACACAGAGTATTGGAGAGTTGTTTCATGGAAAGAAGAGGGAGAGAGCGGCGGGTGCTGCTGCTGTAAGTACTGTTGCTGCGGCGGCTGCTGCAGTGGGAGAGACTGTGGCGGTTGCGGCTGGAGAGATTGGGCTGCTGCTGCTGCTGGAAGCACCGCCGATGCTGCCGCGGTTGCTGCGGATGGAGAGATTGTGGTGGCTGCTGCTGCTGCTGCGGATGGAGAGAACTGTGGCTGGTGCTGCTGGAAGCACTGCTGCTGCTGCGGCTGAAGAAACTGTGGCTGCCGCTGCTGCTGGAAGGACTGCTGATGTTGCGGCGGAAGGAACTGTGGCAGCTGCTGCTGCTGGAAGCACTGCTGCTGCTGCGGCTGGAGAAACTGTGGCTGCTGCTGCTGCAGGAAAGACTACTGCTGCTGCGGCCGAAGGAATTGTGGCAGCTGCTGCTGCTGGAAGGACTGCTGCTGCTGCGGCTGGAACGACTGCTGCTGCCGGGGATGGAGAAACTGTGGCGGGTGAGGCTGGAGAGATTGCGGCTGCTGTCGGTGTTGGAAGAACTGCTGCTGCTGCGATTGCCGCGGTTGGAGGAGATGTGGGGGGTGCGGCTGGAGAAATTGTGGTTGCTGCCGCTGCTGGAAGTGCTGCTGCTGCTGATGCTGGAGGTGCTGGAAACGCCGCAGATGGGGGGGGGGGGAGGGGGTGAGCAGGCGGAGATAAGGGGGGGGAGAGGAGTGGAGGGTCGGAGTGTTGAGAAAGGAGGGGCGAGGAGTAACACTGCTCCAGTGAGGAGGGGGGAGAGGGGCAGGGGGGGTAGCAGTCATGATGGGCGACGGCGGGTGGACCCGCGGCGGCCAAGGGTGAAGTTGCTGCTGCTGAGGCTGCTACACTTCCCCTGCTGCCGCTGCTGCTGCCGCTGGCAGGAGGAGGGAGGGGGGGGGGGGGGGGGGGGGTAAAGGAGGGAGATAGCGGTGGAGGGCAGAGGCGTTCAAGGTGCAGGGAGCGACGGTGACAAGGGTGCAGGCGGCTGTGCGAACGTGCGGCGGCGGGAAGGGGAGGCGGTGGCAAAGTCGGGGGCGGCGGCGGCGAGCAGGGCGCAACGACGAAGGGCGCAGGCGACGGCGGAAGGGCCGCGGCGGCGATTTTGAGAGCGGCGATTTTGAGGGCGGCGGCTGCAAGCAGGTTGCGGCGGCGGAAAGGTGAAGGCGGCGGGGAAATGGCTGCGGCGGCGAAACGAGGGACGGCGGCGGCAGGCAGGCCGCGGCAACGAGGGGCGCAGGGGGAGGGGGAGAGGGGGGGAGAGGAGTAGGGAGAGGAAGAAGGGAGGGTGCAGTTGCGGCTGAATCTGCAGGCGGCGACGGGGCAGTCACGGCGGCAGGAAGTGTGGGCGGGGATGGCGCAGTCGCGGTGGAGGATGGGCAGGCGGCGCCGAAGCAGTCACGGCGGCAGGGCGGCGGCGGCGCAGTCGCGTTAACGGGAACCGCGGGGCGACGATGTTGCAGTTGCGGCGGGGGAAATTGCGGGCGGGTGGCGATGCAGAAGGGGCAGCGAGATGCGTGGGTGACGCGGAAGCAGGTGCGGCGGTGGGAGGGGAGGCGGCAATGCGAAATTGCCTTGGGGGGGGGGGGGGGGGGGGGGGGGGGCGGGAAGGTGACGACGAGCAGTCGCGGCGGCGGAATGCGCAGGCGGCGATGTTAGGTCGCGGCGGCGGGACGGGCAGGGGGCGACGAGCTGTCGCGGCGGCGGGACGGGCAGACGGCGCCGAAGCAGGCGCGGCGGCGGGAAGGGGAGGCGGCGACGTGACGTCGCGGCGGAGGGACGGGCAGGCGGCGACGAGGCGTCGCGGCAGCAGGATGCGCAGGCGGCGCCGAATCAGGCGCGGCGGCGAGAAGGGGAGGCGGCGACAGGGGGTCGCGGCGGGGGGGAGGAGGGGACAGCGGCGTTGCGCTCGCGGCGGTGGAATCCGCAGGCGAGGAAGGCGTAGGTCGCGGCGGGAGGGGGGGAACGGCGGCGACGGCGTAGGTCGCGGCGAGAGTATGCTAGTGATGGCTAGTTGAGCCACGCGTAGGAAAGGGTTTGTAGCTGTGGGGTGGGCCCATGGGAAAAAAAAACTGAAGGGACGGAGAGGTAAGGCCTAGGAACAAGTAGCTCTATACCATGTGAAAGTAGCAAATTGAACAAGTAACTTCATTGGAGGAGAAACCTAGCATACATGGTTGGAAGAGAGGCTTGGAAGAAAAAGGTGAAGGTGACCATAGGTTGGGTTGACCTCACTTGGGGGAATGAGGCAACCATAGGTCAAGTGGGTTGGGTTGCCCACACTTTGTAGAAGTGAGGCAACCATAGGCCCACTTGGCTTGAGATGACCTCACTTGTGGGAAGTGAGGCACCCATAAGCCAAGTGGGTTGCATTTGGGGGCTCCACCACAATTGGGTGGATTGGCACCTCAAAGTGCAAGACTACACCCAAAGTTGGGTGTAGTCCCAACCCAACTGTACACCACAATTGGTGTACAGTCACATGTGTTGGCATGCTACACAACATATATTTGAACAAAGTTGACGCCTTTCGTGCCCGTCTTCTGTTTTTTAGACGACCAAAAAACAGACGTAAAGCAGAGGTGATAAGCAGAGCCGAGGTGATACCAGAGCAAAGCTGATGCCTTTAATGCACTTCTTCCCTGCCCAGCTTTCCCACTGCTTCCCCACTACTACTTTTTCCCCCGCACCCTGCCCATCAGCTCACCCCGCCTGCCATAATAACCCGGTTACAAGACAACTGGTGCAAGGTGGCCGTGATTGGTCGAGAGCAGGTGACGACAGACATACTGGAGCACTCGCACCTGAGGGGGACTCGCACGGACGATGGCCGGGACTGGGACTGTGAGGTGAGATGGCAAACTAGTGGAGTGCTCACCTCACTGGTAAACCAGTGGAGTGAGGGAAGAATCAATAGGACGATTGCAGTGCAGCAGGGCACAACATGCAGTCGAGATTAGAGAAGGAGGAACAGGCTGCTGTGCAGCTGAGAGGAACAGGCTGCTGTGCAGCTGAGAGGAACAGGCTGCTGTGCAGCTGAGAGGAACAGGCTGATGTGCAGCTGAGAGGAACAGGCTGCTGTGCAGCTGAGAGGAACAGGCTGCTGTGCAGCTGAGAGGAACAGGTTGCTGTGCAGCTGAGAGGAACAGGCTGCTGTGCAGCTGAGAGGAACAGGCTGCTGTGCAGCTGAGAGGAACAGGCTGCTGTGCAGCTGAGAGGAACAGGCTGCTGTGCAGCTGAGAGGAATGGGCTGCTGTGCAGCTGAGAGGAACAGGCTGCTGTGCAGCTGAGAGGAACAGGCTGCTGAGAGGGATTCCGGCTGTCAGCTAGGTTGTTTTATTCTCGTAGTTGTTGTTACACACCTTATTTGACAGATGCTGCCAAATGGCTTGAGAGTGTTGATGGCATTCTAAAGTGCTTGCTTGGATGGATCATGAGGGGAGTTTTTAGTCGACTCAAATGTTACCTTGGATCGATTATGAGTGCTCGGATGCATGAAGAAGCGTGTTTTGAGTTGACTCGTGTTTGAGTCGACTCATGAGGCACCTTGGATGGATTATGAGTCCACATCTGTGGGACATGGCCATAAGGCATGGCCATAAGGCATGGCTATAAGGCATGGCTATAAGGCATGGCCATAAGGCATGGCCATTAAGGCATGGCCATAAGGCATGGCTATAAGGCATGGCCATAAGGGCGCGTCCCCTCCCTCGATCGATCACGAGATCGCCGTGAAAAACCGATCGGGCACACCAATTGCAGGATTGGGGCGGGATTGGTAGGAGGTAACAGTCGCGGATCGATCCCGAGCCCTGGGTGACAGGATCGAAAATACAAGGGGGAAGAACTCTCGATCCTACAAAAGCCGAGATCGGTGTGGCCACAAAGGCACATCAATCGTCATCAGCGGAGGTGACAAGATCGTTGGGCACCAGTTACTGTACATTCGCAAGCCATCTCGAAATCGGGTTACTCTGTCAATTGTGACACTGTAGGTGTCCCTCGATCGATCGAGGGCAGGATCGATCGAGGAAGGGGACGCGCCCTAAGGCATGGTCATAAGGCATGGCCATAAGGCATGGCCATAAAGCATGGCCATAAGGCATGGCCGTAAGGCATGGCCATGCCTTCGTAGAACCTCTCAAAGACACACTCTGCTCTGACTTCTTCCAATGCAGATCATTCATGCATGTGCAAATGTCTGCATGCTTGTGTGTGTGTGTGTGTGTGCGCGCACGCGCGTGCGTGCATCTGTGCCTCTGAACATGCCTCCATGCACAGGTGCGGGGATTGGGGGGCACCCTGGTCATCCCCACGTGCTCGGTCGGCGAAGAAAACCTCCTGCGCTGCCCAAAGGATCGGTACAGGGAGGAGAGCATTCTGGTGCATGAGTTTGCACACACTGTGATGGAGGTATGCTGCCATGCATGCATGCGTTTCCATGCGACCATGCATGCATGAGTTTGCACACATGGTCATGGAGGTGTGATGTCATGCATGCACGTATGCCTGTTTTGTCACACGTGAACAGCCGTGATGATCAAGGTTGGCTTTGTGCCACTCAGACAGTGGCAGCACTTTTCCCTTGCACCACTCTCGCAGTAATTTCCGATTGCTTTTGTGCATGGATAAAGTGCATGCACCCTCAGAGCGTTTGACGGATTTGTGAAGCACTGGTATTGGCAAGTATGCATGCTCACATGCATGGGTGCATTGGCATCTGGCCTCCATATGTACTCATGGTGCTGCTCGTGTTTTCCATGCATGACTCACCCTTAGTGTCTTTTGTTGACATGGCATGTGTGGATGTATGTATCTATGTATGCATGCATGCGTGATCTCTTCTTCCGTATGACAGGTGGGGTTCGATGAGTCCCTGATGCACCGAATCTCCCAGTGCTTCCAGCGGTCCAAGGTAGTTTTGCACATCCAAACCCAGCCCCACCCTGTTCATGCAGCAGCTGAATCCATGTCGTGCTGGTCATTTGTCAGATACTTGTCTCCATCCACTCTAAGCAGTTGTTTTCCACCCTGCTGTTCCCATTCCCATGCATGTGCCGGTAGTTACCGTCCAGTTTTTCCAGCTTGTTCATCCATTTTACACTCTTCTTTTGTCCCTAATGGCCTCCTGCTCTCCCTCCCAATCAGCACCTCTATCCATCGACTGCATACATGGTGGCAAACAAAGAAGAGTATTGGGCAGAGGGTAGCCAGTCGTGGTTCAATGCCAGCGTGCGTGTAGATGTAAATGGTGGAGTAAATAATCGTGAACGATTAATTGAGCACGATGCAGAGCTTGCCCAGCTGTTACAGGAAGTTTATGGGGATGGAGATTGGAGATATGATTTCACCCCTATCAATGTGCCTTTACCTAGTACCAAGGACACAAGGCTTCCAAAGTTATGAGCGTTTTTTAGAATCATTTTTCAGCTGAGTTGTTTCTGGAACCTTAGTAAGAAAGCACTGTAGTACTGCACACCTCGTACCTTCTAGAGCGTGGTTGGGTGGGCCCTGAGAATCTGCTGGACGGGCAACAGAATCCACTGTTGACAGCTCATGGACCTTTGTTTGACGTCATTGGGGCACCAGAGCTGCACGACATCAACTTGCGAATTTTAGAGAAATTTGTTTCTGCTGTACAAAAACCAGAGTCAGCTCTACACTGAGCAGCTCCATTGTCTCTCATCACATGCGAACTTTTCCTGCCCAAGAATACGACCATCTTACCACCATGTGCTCCGTGAGATCTTTATGTCCTTTTCCTGGAGTCATGGGATTGGGCTGTTCGGTCCTCGTCACCTCGCACCTCCATCTCCACCTCAACATAGTTTAGCATTTCCCACAAGTCGTTAACCAATGAAACAGCAGGTTCATGCCAGCACAGCTTTTCCGCAGAGTTCCACGAACTTGGCTACAGTGAAAAGGGGACTCGTTCGGGTTTCGGTAAAATATGGTGGGTTCGGCTCTTGTGTTTCTGAGAAAATGTTGTTCTGTTTCTGGCATCCCGGAATTGTGCAGACTGACGAAGCACCCTTGTACAGAAATAAGGACGTGGGCCCAATCGTGTTTGATCGCGACTACTCTGATCGGGTTGGATCTGATCGGGTTGCTCGTGATCGCATTTCCCGAGCCGCCCGATCAGAGGATGTTTTCGTAGAGCATTTTCGTAGGCCCAATTACCTGGCATTGTCGGCCTAAGACTGGCGACCAGACGCCACCTGGCGTAATATCGTAAACCCCGCTCCGCACAGTGAGGGTTTGACGAGACCTAGTAATACAATGTAACTATTCGCAAGCATCGCTGTGGTCCCCGATCATATACGATCAGTTGATCGTCTGTGATCGAGGAAAATCGGCTGTGCTCGGGGTGAAAGTCGGGTCTAATCGAGTTGGGGCGATCAGCTGATCGTGATCAGCTGATTGCCCCCGATTGCATGAATTTGGCTTCCAGGCCTCCTGGAAATTATTGATCTTGGCTGATCGAGGCAATCAAACCCGATTTGGACCCGGTCCTAAAGTTCGGGTTACGGTTCCCAACGCTTCAGTACACTTGAAACTAAATTGCCCTGACTCTGGTCGTCAAGAGGTGCTGGGAATGGGTACCCCTTGAAAAACGAACGAATAGTTTCTCCTCTCTTGCTTCCCAAATCGTTATTCCTAAAGTACCTGGTTCGGAAATCGGGACTCAGAGAGCGGCGGAGTGACAGACATTAACATACAGCACCGTTTCGAAATGCGCTAAACCACATTGTTACACTCTCATCAAACTGAGGCTGGGGACTTTACCTGTGATGAGCGTTTGGTCAGGGATTAGGGCGCGTGTGGTCTTTGAAATTTGTAAAAGTTTATGTTTTTAGGGCGAATTTAAGTTTTGAGCTTACAACGAAAGAAGTTCGAATTTCCTTTTATCGAAGTTCGAACATCGGGCTTACCACACTGTAAAAAAGCACACACACATACAAGGTCGAACCCCGACATTCGAACTTGTAAAAACGAGCCGAGCCGCACGTCAACATCATAGGTTACCCGGTTCGCTCGTCTTGACAGTGCGCCACGTCAACATTTTGCGCTTCGGTTTACAAGGACCTAGAGATCCAACTCACCTTCCGCGTCGAGTGTGTAACCAGGGTACAAATAGCCCCCGTGGCAACACCATGTATACTCATCATTCGCCCAACATGACAACCCTACAGCTGGTCCGCTTTCTCGGCATCGTATGGCAGGGGGACGCGTTGCCGCATCGTGCTCAAACGTGCCACGATGCTGGACACGTGGCTACCACTATGTGCACGAATTGTGGGGTGTCTTCGTTGTGCAACTTCATGCACTGGCGAAGCGCTCTCCCGTTTCGCCAGCTGTTCGGACGTGCTGCAAATCACACGCGCTCGCATGAACGTGCGCACGCACGTTCCCGCCTCCGACTCGAGTCAAGTTCATATTTCAAACTCGAACTTTTGCAGAGCCCATACAATGCTTGGTTCGCGAAGCACTCTTCGCGAAATTAGCGAATAGGGTAACCACCTAAAGTTCGAACTTTATTTTGAACTTTTAAACAGACCACACGCGCCCTTATTGATGGCAAAACTGCACCTGCCTGATGCATACCATACGCTCTCTCAACAACTTCATTCCTGTTGCTACTATGCGAGCGAAGAACCACGCACGGGAACCACTGTATGTATCTTCTGCATCGTGACGCTTCTGCGACCATTCTACATTGCTTCAATAGCAGGCTTCGTAGAGCCAGTTACGGCGGTCGTTACCTTGTTTTGATGCTCGAGTCGGAGTTAGGAAAGCTAGGACGTGTGTCAGGGACAACAGAGTAAGCTGCGGTAGAGATGGATTAACC